GTCAATCGACAAGTCGACAGATTCGTTTGGCCAGGCATTGCGAGAGATTCCTAGTAGATTATTTGCTAGATGTTGCATACAGTGCCAACGAAGTAAAGTCATTCGACACAACAAAAGCTTATTCCAATGCAGAATAAATCCCAGTAGCCGATTCGGTAGGTCCGTTTCCAATATCGGATGGTAACAGATAGTGCTTAACCATAATCGATCGATTTACGCGATGGCCAGACGCCATTCCGATTCTCAACATGACAGCTCCATTTGTATCAAAGGCCTAGCTAACCGGCTGGAATTCCCGTTTTGGAGTACACATCGACATAACGTCGAATCTCGGTCGTCAATTCGAAAGCGCCATATTTAAACAATTGCTAAACCAGCAACCAAAGCCAAACAGCAATCTTAGTGGAGTTACACTAACCAAAAAGTTTTCGTTCATGGCGATATCAAGTCTTATGATCATGTCTTCTTCCGCGATGAGTCAGTCGGACCCTCATTATCAGCACTTTATATCGATCCCTATAAAGTTTTTAGCCGCTTTAAAGGAGAATAAAGTTAAAGTTTCCATCGATCTTCTAAAGCCAGTTTTCATCACACCACCTACGACTCTCTATGAGGAGGTTACTGTGGCAACACCATAAATAATAAAAAACTTTTAATTCTCAATGCAATCATGCCTGTTGACATTTTGTTTATTCTTTATTCCAATCTATTGTACGTAGTTTTGATATGTCAATAAATCTTCCCTTTTCTACATCAACTGTGAAGCGAGTAGCACGTGCCTACCATTGCATTACTACTTACATATACATATATATATTTATATTTTATATGTATTAGTTATATAGAGTATATGTATATGTGAAATGGTCTACGAAAAGGGAGCTAACGTGCGAAAACTAGTTTTCTGGGAAACAGCTGTTAAAAATAAACAACTCGTTTCGTCAGTTTCTCGTTATCTCATTAATTGTTCTCCTTTCCCGAGGCTTCTAGGACGTACAGTTTTTGGTCGGAATATTATTATAGTTCATCGTGTAAGTTGCTAGTGTGGAACATTTGAAAAAGTAACACTGAACCCCTTTCCGTAGACCAGGTCACATATATAAAACTGGTTAGTTTCCGATCCTATGGCTGACGTTTTACACCTTAACATCTTTCTCTGACTATGATTCTTGCAAGTTGCAAAAGTATAAAATGTTCGGTTGCACCCGAACTTAGCCTATCCTTACTAGTTTTTATTATATTAATTTTGTGTGTTAGTTTGTACTATTTTTAAATATTAAAAAGAAAAAGTTCATTTCAATAAATAAGTAAATGTTATTTCTGTTTATAAACTAAAACGTCCCATGTTTAGTTTGAACCTTTAGCAATATTGAGTTCATTCGCACTTTGTATGGTTTCAGTATAAAGAGTATTAACTTCAATTACTATATTGGGAGATGAAGAGCTCATCATACGTTTAATATTTGCACCATTTCTTTCGGCGATGGAAAATATAGTAGTTCTCTAGCAGCTAACAGGAATCGAAATTGCGCTTTTAATGCTCTAAATACACTTTCGATAGAAAGTCTTGCTTTCGAGAATTTTGTGTTGTAATAATTTTCTGGAGAGTTTTCAGGAGAAATTATTAATAGCGTTAAAATCCAAGGTTCAAGCGAATATCCAGAGTCGCCGTACAGATATAAAAGATCATTAACGGCCGGTTGTACAATTTGAATGTGATTACCACCTCAATTACTGCTGGGATTCCAGATAACGAATAGAAAGAACATAGGATTTTTTCAATTGCTTTGCAAACTTCTAACCCAGAAAGCAAGAATTTCTTTTGAGCTAGTCCTGTTTGTTCTCCAATTTCTTGATATCATTTCTGCCATGAAGTATTGTATCAAACTATTTATGAGTAAGAGCATAAATAAGTGTCCGTCCCGTTATTGTTTACGCCTCTTTATTATTATTTAGTTTTCATTTTCCTTTGTTTCGGAGAGTAATATCAAGTATATTGGAAATGTATCAAAGCAAATACTGTGCAATCCTGTTTACAAAAGAAATGTGTTATAGAGTACCGATTCGCAACGCAATTTATTTTCGCAACGCCCTACAGAGTAACTCCTCTGAAAGTAGCCAGCTTTGATCCATGCAAGTTGCAAGAGTATAAAATGTTCGGTTATACCCGAACTTAGTCTTTCCTGTTGGTATCTTGCAAGTTCGGATACCTCCGAACTTTTTACTTATTATGAGATAGGAAAGATGTCAACTTAATTTAATGCTTTACAAAAATGCATTAAGATAAGCAATATCTATAAAAACGTTTCAAAAAAAAAAAAAATAAATAAATAAAAGCGAATTTTGCAGAGGATTCATTTTCCAACAAAGCTACGAGTTTTGCAATTTAAACTTTTTTTTTTTTTGCAATGAGTTATAAAATTAATAAGAAAAACAATTTTGTTAACGTAGAGCATTTCGTTTTCTACAAGATCTAATAAACGAGAAAATTGGATTGGAAGGAAGATTGGAATTGAATACAAATATACTTATGAATATGAATAATTTGAATAACACAAAGTATCTAAAAACAAAATTATATAAGTTAAAAGATTTTTTATATGTATGTGAATATGCAAATATCTTTTCCTAATCGACTGCAAGGGGCATTTACAAAAAAAACGGCCGCTAACAATAAGTTAAACATATATCGACAATATACAGCTATGGACAGAGATTTAGCGCACTTTCTTAATATGAAATACGATACTTAATAATGTTATATTTAAAGAACGTAGATTCGTTATAATGTAACAAGCTATTGATTACCTCACTAAAAACTAAAACAGTTCAAAATTTGTTAGTTTTCTATAATAAAATTGTTCAGTTTAGATAATTAAGTCAAAATTGGCTTGAACAAGTATTTAGTGCACTTTAAAAGATCAGTAAGGAAAAATAAATATTATTAATACTTGGCGTTAAATTTCTCTGATATTACATACATATATCTAACTTGGTTAATATTTAGTGGAATAAGCGTTATTCGTTATCACCGCTTCACATCTGCCTAGCAATCTACAAATGTTTTACCATCAGGACCAATACGGTTTGTTTTAGTTTTGTAAGTAAAAAGTATCCTTTTCCAAAAAATAAATCTTTTGATCTATGGCTATGAGCGAATGACAAACGCACTTTAATATTTTTTTTTTTTGACAATAGAGGTGTTTTTCTGCTCACACGTCCATACAAATTATTTTCATTTAAACGTCTTCGTACTAGTCTAATTGACACGTGTAAGTTCAATTCTTCATTGACTTCGACCATAATTGCGCGTGAGGACTTGAAAGGATCACCTTTACACTTTCTAAGAATTATTTTATCTTCGCGGGCGGTTGTTTTGTTTTGTTGTGTATGTAATATAACTAAAACTATTGAGTACAAGTTCACAACTAAGATTAATTTTTTGTTGGACCAAACACAAGTAATGACTGAAAACTATAAGTGCCTTAAATCTTTGTCCAACGAATTTATGACGAAATTTAACAAAAACAAATTAACGGTATCTGAGGCCAAATGATAACGGGCACGCATTTAAAGAGGCGACAGAAGCAGTATTGATACAGCTGTATATACATATGCATGTTATTTATAACAAAAAAAAAAAAATGTATTTCTTACACATATTTAGAAATATCATTAATACTTGTATAATTAGAATGAATGGAAAATTAATTTGCTGTAACTTTAAGTCGAATTAATTTTATTTGATCCATTGAAACAAGTTATGTTAAAGGTATTTAAAGTTAAACGTAATTTTTTTTAATATTTCCATTTCCATTTTAATGACAGGGAAAAAATAAATATTTTATGTATGCATAGCTATTGCACGTTACCATTCTCACAAGTTCATTATTAAGGTGTCTGTAAATATGTATATGCATGTATGTACATAGACATTTTGGTTAGGTCAATTTTACATCGTATATTCAAGTATTTCAATTTCTGCGTAATACCCTGATATCTTATTATATAAATACGGATGTACATACAGTTTAAAATTACATCTTTATATAAAACGTTCATATAAAGTGTGTAATTGTATTATACGATGAGTTAAATGTAACACATACACTAATACATCATTTATAGAGAGATATTCTTCAATTTCTTAGCATTGACGCTTACTCTGTATTTTAATTGGCCGACCTTTTATTTTATATACAATAACGATTGGCCATTGAGGTTCAGTCAGAGTAATATGACTACATAAGGTAATGTTGTTTACCACTCTTGCATACGAAATATTTATTATATTTCCTATCTAGTTTGTGATCACCAATAGGCACGTTTCTTCTCTTTCTTACTCAAAGGTTCTCTATTCGACTACACTAACGATCAAGCAACTAGACTGCTACAGTAATAATAACATCTTGATCAGTAAAACTTAGTCACCCTAAGGAAAGAAGGCAATACAACTAACATCGATCCGACTACGACGCCGTTCGAAGTAAGGAAGGTGAGGCCAAATTACTTCAGTGTCAGTTTGGCGATAGCATTGAATCGGGTAACAGTATTATTCGTACTGTTAAATAATTTGAAATTTAACTGCAATTTTCCAAAGCAAATATCACACCCTTTAAGCTCCAAATAATTGCCCGGTTTTATTAATTCATATTTGTGAACAAAAAATACATATATGTGTAAATGTATATACCTACATACGTACTATATACACATATATATGAATGGATATGTGAGAGAAAACTCGTTTTTATTATAGTAGTTAAATACTTTACATTGAAATTGCGTAAAGTTGTTTGATTTAAAAAAAATTTAATTAAAAGAAAAAATTTCTGAATTGAAATATCTATAAGTGATTAATTGAGAGAAAACTCGTTTTTATTATAGTAGTTAAATACTTTACATTGAAATTGCGTATAGTTGTTTGATTTAAAAAAAATTTAATTAAAAGAAAAAATTTCTGAATTGAAATATCTATAAGTGATTAATAAACATCTATAATTAAATTCAAATAATTGATTATATGTGAATATTTTGTAAAATTTTGTTGTAAATAATTATTGATGGAGAAAGTTGTATGGTATACAGAAGTTATATATAAAATTTAATAAGTGATTTTTGAAGGATCTCGAGTGAAAGTGTATAAGCAAAAACTACTGAAAGTATTGACAATTTTAATGAGTGATAGTTTGTTTTAATCCGTGCAACAATATAGTTATAGTTACAGTAACAAACAAAAATTTAAATAAACGCAAACTACGTAAAATTTAATTACAAAAATGGATTTATCTGCAGTACTTTACGTATGTTTAATAGCATTGTGCACATCAACGGGAAGTAAACCGAAACCTGGTCGAGGAAAAGGATCCATGTGGTGGTTAGTCTGCAATATTGCATAAAATATTCAAATAATAATAACAATTTAAGTTCGCTTCTTAAGTCTTTTGTTTATTTTTAAGAAAGAAACTCGGCATAAATGAATAAACCCAAAACATACACTTTTAAACAAATTAAATTATTATGGACCGCAATTAAGTTGTTTTTTTGGTAAAAGTGTATTTAGAGTGTGAATCACATTGTAACTAAAAGGGGAAAACGAATATCGATATACATATAAATACAAACACATATGTATATTTATATTTTTATCTATACATATACATATGTAAGTATCAATACTGAACCAGTAACCGTAGACAAAAGATAGTAAAGGTCTTATATTCGTTGATTTTATACTATAAAGCCTATTTTATGGAAAATTAAATTAATAATAAATTTGTACATATGTACATACTAGGTACAATTATTACAACCGAATCTATTGCAAAGCATCATCCAATATAATTTATTTTTCTTTTTACAAAAGTTTTTAAATGGAGAAATAATTATTTATGTGTTGATAAAAGTGCCCTGATATTGTTTAATGTATATATGATTTTAAGTTGATATCAAGATATTACATGAGATAATAAAATTAGATGTTTAAAAAAGATTAATAATTTACTCTAAAACACATCTTTAAACTGAACTAAGGTGAACATATTTTCTATATCTAAGGTTCTTTAGCTCAAAAGAAGGAATATGGAGCTGAGTACATATCAAAGGAATCATCAGTTTCATTCTTCCTTTTTTCGAACTAATTAATCAGCTTTCATTGCAAAACAAGTGTTGATACATATGTAATATAGTAATTATACAAAATATATTTGTTAGCAAGTAATTTATTATATGAAATCATTTATTATTGCTTTCTTATTCTAGGGGTATAGCTAAAGTGGGCGAACCAAATAATATATCACCACTTAGTTCAGGTATTATGTATATGGATCCCGCCATTCATTCCACACTAAGGCGAAAACAACGACGTTTAGTTCGTGATAACCCTGGCGTACTAGGTGCACTAGTAAAAGGCGCCAATCTTGCTATAAGTGAATGTCAACATCAATTTCGAAATCGGCGTTGGAACTGTTCAACAAGAAATTTTCTGCGTGGAAAAAATTTGTTCGGCAAAATTGTCGATAGAGGTAACTACTTATATTATGAAAGTTGCAAACTTTTACAAATATTATTTTTATTTATTTATTTATTTAAAAGAGAACTAATTATAAATAATTAATCCACTTGTAAGAATCAGCACTGGCTGCCAGGGCCTTCGGACAAATATTATTATTGTCCAAATTTAACATTCATGGTTTCATACATGTGTATGTATTTGGTCATAATCGATTTAGACATCTCAAATTACAAATTTTGTACAATATGTTTTAAGTTAATAGGCGGAAAGCAAGTAGCATTTATCTGAACACTTCTTTCTTTTTCAAAAGAGATTTCGACCACACTCGAAGTTCGAAAGCCTCACAGTAGGATGCTGGAAATACCTGATTTAGAATACGTCTTCTGCATTATTAGCACATACAATTTTCTTATTCACAACAAATGTAATAAGAAAACCATTCTTTAGCTGTCAGCACTCATGCTGTTTGCGCTGTTGTGCGCCTTTGCTGTGTAACTAATGAAATTGTCATTTACAACGTAATAGGTGGCTTCTGTTACCTTAAAACAATTTGGCAATCTTCTGAATTGCTGACAGTTTGATGCGTGTCCAATTTACTCCACATTCATACACCCAATTGTATGTAACATATAGGTATTCAACCATCTGTTATTATCTATATCTTTTGAAGCCTGACTAAATTCTGGGCCCAAAATTGACCTGCAAAATTTGTTGTAGCTTTATAATGACGGCATGATATTTCGCTACTTCCAAATTTTTTAACACCTGACTCTTGTGCTAACCATGACCTTACTAATTTTCAATACAATTTTCTGTATTTCCACACTTTTTGTACATAGTTTATTAATTTTATGTAAATGATTACTTCTCATGTAAAACAAGAAAGCTTTCTCTAGGTGCGTATCCTACATATCGTCGCCTGAAATGCAAAATAACGTAAAAACATTTTCGGAAATTTATGGTGGCATGAATGAAACACGAAATAAAATAGAACATGAGTGAAAAAAAATTATAATAGTGGTTAAAACTGGTTTATATCTGAGCGCAGAACCTGAAAATATTGAACATATGTAATATTATGAATGTAATTTGAAGTAGCGAAGCGTAATCAATAAGGTTTTGAATTTCGAATTTTTTTAAGATACGTTATTTTGCATTTCACGATATGTTATATAACGAAACTTAACGATTTCAGTTTAATGATAAAGTAAATAACATTGCTATACAAAAACATGTTCACTCTTACTGTACAGGATTTTCATCATCTTTAATCTAAAAACGAACTTATCGAAGAAACCAAAATAATAAAAAACAATAACCTCGCTAAAACTTATTTTAAACACCAGTTTGAGACATAGAAAAAATTTACAAAACTGAAATAAAATCTTTATGAAAAATATAGACGTAATAGAAAATAGTAAGGAAGGGCTAAGTTTGGGTGCAACCGTACATTTTATACTTCTGCAATTTGCAAAAATCAAAGCCGGGAAAATACTTTAAGGTGTAAAACCAATCATACAGAGTTAAGTTAACCGGATGTTCGAATATTCTGATATTAGATATATGGGGGCTAGGCCAAGGTTTTGCTTAAATTTAACTGTTTTTGCCACGAAAATGTGTAAAACATATATTTTCATTGGGATAACTCACATATTGGCCGGTATATGCGGACAAACTCAGCCGAAAGTATTGGTCMGATTCAACCAACGTTTTTGACATACATAGATACCATTATTAGAGAAGGATTATCTCTTAATTTCAGTTATATATATCACACATTGACCGACATTTTCCATCAAAAGTCAACTATAGGTACCGGGGTCTAAATATTCGGGGCCTATACCGTTATATGAGAAGTGATGTGAGAATTTGGTTGTTGTGGCCTAAGTGGCTTAGGAGACATACACATTAAACTTATTAGAGGGTGGGGCTACGCCCACTTTTTCAAAAATGTTTCCCACAAAGGAGAACTTAACTACAGCAATCCCCTGTGCTAAATATGATATAAATCTTTATTTAGTGCGTAGTTAGGGCACTTTATATGTTTCGGTTAAGGGCGATTTTTAGGCGTGGCAGTAGTCCAATTACGCCCATCTACGCACTCCAACTTTTTTTGTACTAAGGAACCTGAATATCAAGTTTAATCAAGATATCTAAATTTTTACTCAAGTTACAGCTTGCACTGACGGACGGGCAGAGAGACAGTCAACCAGATTTCTACTTTTCTCGTCACCCTGATGATTTATATATATATATAACTTTATATCTATCTCGATTAGTTTAAGGTGATACGTACAATCGTTAGATGAACAAAACTATAATACTCTATACCAATTGGCTGCAAGGGTATGGAAATCGGAGGACCCAGTGAAATTGTAAACTTCAGAAGGGTTGAATTATGGAATATTTGACAAATAATGCGACAGTAATTACATATGTTTCCTAATAATGGAAATAAAAATATAAATATATCTCCGGATATAATGTTTACTTCTGTATGACATATAATATATATGTATACTTATATATATATATATGTACACATATATAAGACAGTAAGTATTTAAATACAAGGAGTATGTGTAAACTGTATAATGATACGTCTTAACTGGATTTACCATGATAACATCCTTTTTTGTCTTTCTGGATCAATATAGCATGTTAAATAAATATAGACACACGACCTTTAAGCTAAAGCAGCTTAAATAATAGGAATAGCAAACATATATTGTTGTGTCTTCAAATAAATAATCCACAACAGTACTAGAAACGAGATACATGTCAATGTTCATTTTTAAGTAGATAAACACATACATACATATATAGACCGTACATAAGTACTAATACATCCATTCAAACATATGTACGCGTGCGGATCTTTTACAAATTGGGTGCTGCTTTAAAAAGGATCAACAACTGCAAGTAGTGATCAAAGATGATACAAGTGCTTGCGCCACTAAAAGGGAACAWACATATATTCCCAATTGTCCACAAGAAAAGTCCCTAATATTGCACAAAACAATTGGGTGAAATTCAGACGTCCGGGACTCTTTCAAACAATATCAAGTAGCAAAACAAGTAGGCCACGACTGAATGAAAGGAACATTAAGTATTAGCGGATCTGCAGCTGAACCCAATCTTACAATTAAATCATATACGTGAATATGTGTATTTAAATATACACAAATATATTCTGTCAGTAAATTGAAATGTAATAGGAAATACTCAACTATACAATACCTATTGTATTAATGTTCGTCAGCAGTTTCAACTAAGTAGAGCAACACCCACATACATAAGTATATGTATATATATATATACGACAGGAAATGTTCACGCCCGTTTTTTATTGTTTTATCAGTTATGAATATACCAACATAAAAATCCAAGACTTTTGTATTTTACGTCCATTATTAAAATTTTAAGTAAATGTATGCAAAATGCACCAATAACAAATATTCCACAATGTATCTTATTCATATGTACATATGTATGTACATAAGAAAAATTACAATTTCTGCGAAAGCTAAGGCGTGGAACCGTGAAATTCGCCAAAGTTTTAATCATACATTACTCAATGGCAATATCTATCATTGGATGTGTGATGTATTATTAAACATTAACAATTACTTAAACCACAAATATAATTTTTAATAGAATATCAAATGAAATAAACATACATATGTATATGGTATAAATATGTATTCAAAAGATTTTAAGCTAAAATGTACGTTTATTGCGTCATATTTTTATTATTAAAAATATATATACCATAAGTATACGTGTATGTGTAAATAGTTACATTTTTTAACGTACAAAACTCATGATGCTAAAAGTTTCGTTTGCACATATCGACCAGGTGCGCATGCCTTTTCTTATCTTTAGCAAACTATCAAAATAATCTGAACCGTGCGTCTCCTTCCCTTATTTGAATTACAATATACATACGTACGATTTAGGGATGTTGGCAGTTTTGGAACATCGATACCTACGAGTTTATATAGCTATAGTGGTTCAGTTTATCGACAATATAAACATTTCTTAATTTTAAAACGTTTGTTGCATTTCGGAATATTTACAAAATAATTTGATTTCCTCATTAAATTTTTTACGGTTTGCATCTTGTTTACATAAAGCGAAATTATTAAAGTATTATTTCTTATATCACTGAAACCATGTTAAAGTGAACAAATACAGAAAATTATTTATTTCTGACTTACGTGTGTAGAATGTACATTCATATATTTTAATATTGATTATTCCATATTATGTACGAAGGTACAACATTGTTATTATGATGCTGGTGTTTAAATCTTAATTAATATCAAATTTGCTTATATTATATACTTCACATCTTATCGTGACATATAGGTCGTGCACGGGCGCACGCCTTTAAAACTAACACCACCATTCCCATTCAATGCTAATATTTACATACTTATGGTAAATACATACATATGTATGTATACAAATATTACAAAAAGCGAATACTCGAACTTCCTTCCGCATGCGGCTTATCAAAACTGAAATMATTTTACCTCAAAACAATAAAAAAATTTAAAAGGTTAATAAATATTTCGGTGTGGCAAGTGTATGTACGGTAAATATTAGTTTAAATATGTGGGAAATGAAATTTAATGCAAACAACGTGTGCGCATTTAGTAAGAATTTGATGATACCATATAAAAATGAAATTCTGGGCCAATTTTAATTCATTTCTTTTTAAAGTGTTTTTTCTGAGAAATATATGTATAATTTATATGAAAAAGTATGTACTCCATATGTATATTGGGTAAATATCAGACATCCGAATTCCATCGAAAGGCGTGTTATAAATTTTTGCTTACCATAGCGAAAAACAAATAATTATAGTATACTAGAGGACCCGTCCACGCTTCACTGTGGCTTATATTTAGATAATACTGCTACTACCATCTATATGATTTCTATTAGTTGGATTATAACTTTTAGTTAATGAGATCCACCATTTTTGTGAAGCAACTTGTTTTAGTTTACACAGAAATGGATCATAAAGCATTTCGTGTGTTAATAAAGCATTCCTTTTTGGGGGAAAATACTGTTGAATTTGAGCTCAGGGAAATCCACCATTGAAAAGATATTTGCTAAGCTGGAAACAGGCGAATTGAGCACCGAACACAATGATGCCCTAAAGAGGCGAAAGCTCTGTGCAAAGTAGGTGCTTCGCAAGTTCATAATCCAACAAAAACAACGAACAACTGACTCTGAGAAGTGTTTGAGTGCTCTTTAATCGGAATAAAATCGAATTTTTGCGTGGGTGTGTGACAATAGAAACATACCTGCATCACTGGAGTCCAATCGACAGTCATTCTAGTAGACTGCACATGATGAACGATCCTCAGGCGTGCAAAGACGAAAAAGTGCGCAGGAAAGATTGTGTCATCAGTATTTTGGAATCTGATTACTGAGCCACTTATAATCTATTTCACTGCATATTTGGTTGCAGTTCTTTTCTACTATTCCAAATACTTAGCAAATGTATTATTTTTGAGGAAGAGTCTGTTTAAAATTGTACACATATATTCAAATGATTCCTACAAACAGGAATTTTTTCGAGCATTGAAAGTATCACGGAAGGCATTCTACGGAATAGCCTTACGAACCGAGATGCATGCTGCTTGCTTCAACTTTGTCGTCTCAAATGAAAAGGAAGATTGCCTCTTTGTCTCGGGTCATATTGAAAGATCCATGACTCGTCACCTGCGATTACGATATTAAAAAATTTGGGGTAACTTTCACACATGTTTAAATTTTCATGCCACACTTCCACCCGTCGCGATTTCTGGTCATCAGTGAACAATTTTGGGATCATCTTCGCATACACCTTCCGTATGTTCAAGTGCTCCATCACAATGTCATGAACCACAGCTTTCGATAAATTTAATATCTGCACAAATAAACGAATACTTAGTTGACGGTCTGAGTTCAAAGCTTTGCGCACACGATTCACATTGTCGGTGTTTGTCGAAGTCGCAGGTCTCCCAGTACGATCTTCATCAGCGACCTCTTCCCGATACCCCAAAAAGGTCTGGTTCCACCGAAACATGGCACTTCTTGCTCAAACAACATGTGGGCAAGCCTGCTTGATCACATCAAATGTCTCTGTTGCAGACTTACCGAGTTTCAAACAGAATTTGCTCTAACGGACGCTGCATTTTTGGCTTGCACCACTCACAAAAACACGTCGCGTGAAAATGTTTGTTCTGACTCCTGGTGCTCGGAGACAACTGACCAGCCGCTCCGAATGCAGTCGGTGGGCACACGCAACGAAATACAGTCGCGGCGGAAGAAAATCAGTCCTATTTATTACTTTCCTGTGAAATCAAAACTTAGTTTTCACAAAATTAATTTTGAAAATAATATTTGTTTTCAATTTAAATGTAAATATTTTATTTCCCAAAAATTTTAGTTTTATTGAACTAACATGAGTATTGCAAAATAATTACTTTACGTTACAACTGATTAAAAGTGATAATTCAAACTCAAAAGTATGAAAAAAGTTGATGGTATACTGTTTTATTACTTTAATTTATTATTTATGGTTAGTTTTATAGCATATCATCGCTATGTAAGGCTGTATTTAAAATAATATTGGTAAAGTAACACAACATATTAATGCACAATTCCACTTTTGCTGCAATAGGGAGACTGTTATGACGCCTTTCAGAAGGATTTCAAATGAGCGTTGGAAATTATTCTGACGTTTGATTTCGAAGAAATATTTAAAGTAGTCAGTTTCAATAAGTATTTTTTCTTTTTTGATTATTTCGCTTAAAGTTCGTATGAATGTGTCCAGGTTAATATTTTTCTGTTTATCCCTAAAAAGTAGCAAAATTGTCCATAAATATACTGTAAAATGTGTAAAGTTTTCACTATCAATCAAATTTCGCACGTTAGGTTAGGTATATTGGTAAAGTTATGCCTGAACTCACGTGGACAGCTAGAAAGGACTGTTTGTTGTAAATCTTTATCGCGTATCAACAAAACGTCTTGAGACTGTCCCAAATCTGTTGAAGCGGCCAATATTAACTCCAATTTGCTGCAGTTTTCAGGGATTGCGATATTACTAGGCGCCGAAGCCTTGATACTGTTGATAGGGAGATCAGACAGCCTTGACTAAATTTTTATACTCTCGCAAAAAAGTTGCTAAAGAGAGTATTATAGTATATTTGTTCACATAACGGTTGTTTGTAAGTCCTAAAACTAAAAGAGTCAGATATAGGGTTATATAYACCAAAGTGATCAGGGTGAGGAGTAGAGTTGAAATCTGGATGTCTGTCTGTCCGTCCGTCTGTCCGTCCGTTCGTGCAAGCTGTAACTTAAGTAAAAATTGAGATATCATGATGAAACTTGGTACACGTATTTCTTGGCTCCATAAGAAAGTTAAGTTCGAAGATGGGTAAAATCAGTCCACTGCCGCGCCCATAAAATGGCGGAAATCGAAAATCTGTAAAATGTCATAACTAAGCCATAAATAAAGATATTAAAATGAAATTTGGCACAAAGGATCGCATTAGGGAGGAGCATATTTGGACGTAATTTTTTTGGAAAAGTGGGCGTGGCCCCGCCCCCTACAAAGTTTTTTGTACATATCTCGGAAACTACTATAGCTATGTCAACCAAACTCTACAGGGTTGTTTCATTCAGGCATTTCCATATACAGTTAAAAAACGGAAGAACTCGGATAATAACCACGCTCACCTCCCATACAAAGGTTATGTTGAAAATCACTAAAAGTACATTAACCGATTAACAAAAAACGTCAGAAACACTAAATTTTATGGGAGAAATGTCAGAAGAAAGCTGCATTCAGGCTTTTTTTTAAATTGAAAATGGGCGTTTTGTCGCCTACTTATGGACCAAAAACCATATCTCAGGAAGTACTCGACCGATTGCAATGAAATTCGGTATGTAATATTTTCTTAACACCCTGATGACATGTACCAAATATAGGTGAAATCGGTTCACAACCAATGTTCGGTGACACCCGAGCTTAGCCCTTCCTTACCTGTTCTTTTTCAAATTAAATTATAAATTTGAATCGGTTTCAGAACAAGGTATTTCATTCCGATATCATATCAAAACTACCCCACTTCTGGAACAGAATTTCTTTTTAAAATAAAGTTGTATATATTGTTAAACCAAATAAAGTTATTTGCATTGAATATAAATGTCTATAAAGCTCTACATAAAAAGGAGTACTGCGTCATTGTTGAGTCCTTTAATTTGCTGCATAATCGCTCACAAAAATAAAAATACAGTAAAATTGGTGGCACACGATCTGTAAGAATTAATCTGTACTTTTATTATTGTATGCAGTATTCTTTTAACTTAACTTGCTACATTCAATTTAATAATGAAACTTGAGCTGTCATATAACCGGCAAGTGCTATTAGTCTTTCCAGAAATATATAATTATCAAAGTTCTAGATCTACATCGAATCATTTATTTACATGAATCTACATATACTTATACCTATATCTACATATACTTATATATATATGTATGTATATGTATCGAACTTTTTTTTTTTCGATAATATTTCAGTGTTTTTATGCGCGAATGATGAAACAAAGAAGTTATGTAAAATGTTGTAAAATGCAAATTGTCTGAATACTACTAATACGAATATTAATTATCTAAAATGCTTTAAGACAAATTGATATTGCCATGTTTAAGAACAAGTAAAAGTAGCAAGGTAACGCTATTTACTGAAGGGAGAAGTATTAAATACTTATTGCATCGCGTAAATGTTATTTTCTGTCACATAGCATAGCTTGTGGGAATAATACAACCACTACTAGGTATGTTCCAATGTGGTCAGTTAGATTAAAGAATTCAAATTTGTCACTTAGCATTAGTGTATATTCTATTAGTAATGTTTATGGACAACCCTATGGTTTCTATATACACAGATATATGTATGTATTGTAACGCTTATATTTTATTCGCTGTCACTTTAATGTTCATTCATAATGGATATGCTCCTATTTCGCATTTTGTACATTCATTATTTTATAAACATTTATTTTCTTTCAGGCTGTCGTGAGACTGGCTTTATTTATGCCATCACCAGTGCCGCTGTCACACATTCGATTGCGCGCGCATGCAGCGAGGGCTCCATTGAATCGTGCACCTGTGATTATAGCCATCAGTCGCGATCGCCGCAAGCGAGTCACCAAACAGGCAGCGTAGCGGGAGTTCGCGACTGGGAATGGGGAGGGTGCTCGGACAATATCGGATTTGGTTTTAAATTCTCACGTGATTTTGTAGACACTGGAGAACGCGGCCGAAATTTGAGAGAAAAAATGAACTTACATAATAATGAAGCTGGCCGCAGTGTAAGTATTATTTGCTAAAGATATAATTTATTTATTTTTGCATACACRGAAAGTTAAATATATTGAACTGATGTTAAATTATTGCTATCAATTGTGAAATAGGAGAAAATAATATGGAGCTATTTGTTTTTATTTACGTGTGTGTAAAAGCAATCTCCTTAAAATCCAAAAATTTGCTTATAATAATGTTAATCATGTGATATAAGTATCGACTTGAAAAATAATTACTAGTTACACCGATCAAACATCTCATTATAGGTATTCATGTGTGGTAGATCGTCTTGTATTCGTAATAAAAAGGTAGTAAATGGTAATGACAATTAAGAAGAGAAGCTACTTCATGGTAATCGTATATACTATACTGACAAGTACAACAACTAGAATGACTATAAAGACAACATTTTTATGACCACTTTAGCAGTCTGTGTTAATTGCAATGCTGTTTGATAGCGGATTCACTATTACACTTTTTGAAACTACAACCATGGCAGAGAATTCAAGTGTATTGTTTCCAATAAGATTAACCCGTTTATAATTTGCACAAAGAAGTATAATGTGTGTACGTAAAGATATTAATCGCCTTGTATCTTCTTCAATTACATACATATACACATATAAACAAATGTACACATATGTATATTTGTACCAAGTTTGATTCGAATATGTACGTATGTATATACAAGAACATTTGAGCTTAAATCGTAAAATGTGTAATAGTTCATTTGCTCTTGATTTATACTTTTCACTTTTGTATTTTTTATTTGAAGTTACTGCGTTGTTGCTCTGAATCCGTGGGGTAATAAATACATACTGCACTTCACAGCGTTTATTGAACACGCAACGTGAGTTGGTGGCCAGTCGCTTTTTTTCATATCCGCCACACACAGATTCGATTCCTACCGTGCAGCTTGCTGCTAACCAATATTAATATGTTGACAGCATTGCTGATAGAAAAACTTAAGGGCCCACAAAAAAGAATTTTTCATTGTGAGTAGAATAAGACCTCAATACCCTGCATATCATGTGCTTGTAAATATTTACTAGCACTGGTATTTATAGGGATATAAGTGACCACAGTAAAAAAAAATTCATAGTGCTCTACTACTCTGTGAGAATCAAGTTCAATTTCAGCCTAGGAAGTAAAGACCTATAAAAATGGGTTATTTTTAATTAGCTAATAGGTAATTATTATATTGTAATGGTTAACATGCAATAATATGCAATTACTAAATATAAACTACTTGAATTCTTAAAAAATTTTTCCTTTATATAACGATAATAATTTTTGTAAATATTTTTCTAAAACGTTTAATACTTATATAATCTACACCTTTGTATAGGGTCAAACATGTGTATTTATTGTAAAATCTGTATTAATTTGTTATTATTGTGGTTTTTAAACCTTGCATTAACCACTAATCGCTTGCGCAATTAATATTGGATCATTTATTCTCCCTCCCTAGTGCGATTTGTAAGAGTAATATTTTTATAAATAAACTTCTTTTAGTTATCTTTGTATAATATCGTAGAGTACCTGCGCTTGCGTAGTGGAAAATTATAAAGAAGTCTGCATTTGAGATCCACCCATATACAAATGTACATGAAATACACATATGTATGTGCATATATATGTTACAAGATCTTAAAATTAAGTTACATTCCCTTGTCAACTAGCGATTCATTCTGTTGCTCTCCATTCGTCGATTAATTCTTCTCTGCACTGTTAATAATACGTTGCCACGGTATTAAGCTTTATTGATCGTGTTGCAGAGATGACTTACCTTATGTGTTGATACTGATACTATTGCTACTTTGGTTGTTGTGAAAATATCAACAAGCGCATAAAAATTGGGCTCATGCTGCGCTGTTTTTTGCTTAATAAAGTAACATTTGCGTGAATGCCCGAACACATCAGGCAATTTTAAGAGAGCCAATGAAGATATATCATGAAGGTTGCCGTTAACTTCACGATGATCATAAAAAAACTTCTAACTAACCACTTCGGAAAATTTGAATTTCAAGGCATTCAATATACATATGTATGCACAGAGTAGGATTTAGAAATAGTTTTTGGGGGGTAGTCGGTAACTTTTTTGTCTTTTGCTTCTGACCATCAACAGCACTACCACCAGTGATCATGTTCATTTTTCTTCAAAGGTCGCAGGAATTTATCTATCAAGGAGTCAAAAAGTTTTCCATTTCCTTAATTTTCAAAGCACATAATTTTTATGAAAACAGCAAACTCAGTTGAAATCCATACAATACTTCTCTAGAAAAGCACGAATTCAAATCTTCGCCGATTGCATCCCACAGAGGAATCTACACTGAGATCATGTGACATTCTTCGCAAGTTATCACGCAGAAATTTTTGCGTTTTCAACTTTCAGTCCAGCCGCCATTTTTTCGTAGCTGAACAAATTTATTGAAAATGTTGCTCAGCTTTTTGTCTTCGGTTTTGTAACGTTACAAGCACGTTGCTTGTTGTTGCTATCATATTTGATGCCTTTGCCTGATCGATCGATTCTTTCTGAAGAATCACGCTGAGTGAATGAGTTAGAGATAGAATATCACATACATAGATCAAAAACCTCAATTATTAGTTCAAATTTGCACACGGCTGCGAGGAGTATCGTTGCTTTTTTCGCTGTTTTCCTAATTTATCCTGTTACTTATTGTTGTTTCTTCAAGATAAGTTGCCACAGTAAAAAACACGCCGTAAAATGTCAGAATGATCGATGCACATGGCTTTAGCTGTTGGCTTTTTTATATTGGAAAACTTGGAGAAACCGCGGAGATTGTATCAATCGAACAGATGGAACTGAACGCAGCATCAATTTCAAGTTCTCTATCAAGCCTCGCTGTTTCAAATTTAGCACTTTCAGTTACGGAACTCATTGGATTTATTAACAATTTAATCTGCATACGTTGCTACAATTTATAACTTCAGTGGTATCTTAGTATTATTTATTATTTTAAAAATTGTAGAAATTCTTTAATTTTGCTTATGACATAAAATGGCAAATTTCTGAATTAGATATATTTCTGTTGTTTTATATTTTTCGTCAGTAGTAAAATTATTACTAAGCCATTTGGCCCTTGGGGGAAATATCCCCCATTTCGCCCCCTAAATCTATTACTTATTGCTTATTGCTATAAGGAAGTATCTCATAGAAGTTTTATTTTAAGCATTCCAGTATTTACATAAAACGGCAATTAATTTAAGAATTTAAGTAACTAAAAGTTGTTCATTCTTACACATCAAAGTTATACCAAAATATTTACAGGAATTAGGGAAATAAGTTTTAATTTCATCCATAATACTTTAACAATGAAAGAGTTGCAGCGTCATCGAAAAATGGCGTTGAACCCCTTTGTTTTAGGCTATAATATATATTGTTTGAATTAGGCGACAATTCTCAACGCGAATTTAAAGTCATAAGAAATATATTAACTTTTAGTTTTGAAATCAATCATAAAATAAAATTTTACTTATTTACATATATGTAAAGAAAAATTACCGATTTTTTGTTTTGACAATTTTAGCATGTACAAGCGGAAATGCGTCAGGAATGTAAATGCCACGGTATGTCTGGCTCCTGTACCGTAAAGACTTGCTGGATGCGACTGGCTAATTTTCGCGTAATAGGTGATAATCTTAAGGATCGTTTTGATGGTGCATCACGCGTTATGGTCAGTAATAGTCTAAGACAAAATGGGAATACAGTACCAAGTAATTCAGCAAATTCAAATGGCATTGGAATGTCTATTGGGGCTATGAGCCCTAACGCAGCAAGCCCGAATGCTTTCAGCGCAGATCGAATGATTAATGATCATATGTCAGACCATTTAATAAAAATACATCCGAACAAACCACCTTTGAATACCGTTAATAACCCAAATAGTTTGTCCCGAAATTCGGTGCGCAGCCGTGGTCGTCAATGGAAAAAGAACAATAGGTTGGTAATGCATATAATAGTGCAGACACATACATATACATTTTTCAACCAAATTTTGTTCAAGTACGTTAAAACCGATTATGGTTATTATAAATGATTATTAATAGTAATTTTATTACAAAAACATTACTCTCTCGCTTATATATAATTTTCATTTTTCTCTTYCCGACAGATACAACTTTCAGTTGAAACCGCAGAATCCGGAACATAAGCCACCTGGCCCCAAAGATATTGTTTACCTGGAACAGTCACCAAGCTTCTGCGAGAAAAATTTGCGCTTAGGTATACAAGGAACACACGGGCGTCAATGCAATGATACATCAATCGGCGTTGATGGCTGTGACTTGATGTGTTGCGGTCGTGGCTATCGTACACAAGTAATCGACGTCATTGAACGTTGCGCATGCACATTTCACTGGTGCTGTGAAGTCAAGTGTAAAACATGTCGAATAAAAAAAACAATACATACGTGTTTATAAGTAGTGATGAGTATTTTTTAAATCTCCGCCCGATACCCTCTGAAGACAGTTAGGACTAAAATGTTTCAAAGGAAATGTATATAAGCTTTAATAAAAAGTAAATAAAACGGTTATGAAGTCTGTCACAAATCATTAACAATCGTTGCCCTCCAACACAATACAGTGTATTATTAAGTGAGCTAGTAAAAATATTAATAGAACGAAAATAACTAACGTAAAGGGAATAAAGGGTGGGGTTTGAAAATTTGCGGCACCTTTGTCGTTTGTTATACCCCGTTTATTTATTTATTTATTTATTTTAACTTTGGATTACAATCAACAGGTTGTTCGTTATATAAAAGGACACTACATTAAGTGATCTGTCGATTAATTCCAACGAATATAAATATCAGTATTTCTTTAAATTTGATACCAGTATGCACATACATATGTAAATATAAATATATAAAACCTAGCACTGAAATACAAAATGATATGCGCACTTAAATATGTATCATATATGGGACAGTCATATGTGTGGACCAAACCAATTTCAGTGTAAACATATTTTAAGTTTAGAGGATGCTATAAGTGAATTTTTTTTCTAAGTTGGATTTGGATTGGATGAACACATTCAAGCGGATTTGAACGCTGTCTACAGTATTATATTATTTTAATTCATAATCACTAAGCAGAATACATATGTTTTTAAGAAAAATAAATACACATTATCCAGTTTACTATTTGTTACTATTCTAAATATGTATAAGTACTTGTATACGAATGTTTATGTGAATATTGCCTTGCGCCAAAATGGATCTAAACGAAGACTGAGATTTTGTAATTTGCATATTACTTTTGTCATTTAATTGCAATTCATTTTCATATACATATGCTTTATCATATATTGTACCATACGTGTCCATACATACAAAGCTAAACATGTATGTACATATATAGGCACATAAATTCAAGCTGTACAATTTTATGAACTTACTAAAAGCCTTAAGATAATTTTTACCCTCTTATAATTTTGGTGTTAATTAGTTTGTTGTTTAATAAATAATTTAATTAGGAAATGGTTTTCCCTACATATTTGATAAAGCTAATCTGAAAAATATACAAAATAGATTTGGAAGCCATCTAACACAAATTTACAAAGGTTTTCAAGAAAAATAAATCCATTTTGATTATAAGTAAAAAATATGAAATTAACATTTAAGATAAAACCATTCGTTTGTGGTCATTGTGTTAACCAACACAAGTATTTTTCCAAAGCTTTTGAACTCAAGAGGTTAAATCGAATGGTTAAATAGAATTAAAATTGTTTGTGTATTTACATTTTGAAAAATGTATTTCAGTTTAAACAAGTCGTTCAAATTTAATATATATATTTACATAAGTCCCTACACATTTTTAAATTTCATATACATACACACATATTAATAAGTTCTTCAACAAATTGTTTTAGCTCGACAAGCAAAAAACGTACTTAAATCTCTATCATTAATATTTTTTTATTTTTGTACACGCTTCCTCAGTATGTATGTTGTCTATAAAATAGTTTGTATAATCTAGACATATAGAACTTCATATTTAAATATATTTATGCATATGAAAATTATTTAAGTGAATTTGTATTCCTTCATTACAAATTATATTTAAATTTATTAGCTAAGCCAAATAAAGTCTTAAATTTAAATACTTTAATTAATTATTTTCTAAAGTGCTAAAATATATTTGCAGACATTTGAATAAAAAGTGTTTTTATTCTCGCTCTATTCACTAAAAGTTGTTATGTTAAAAAAACTAGAACCATTTCTTGAATAATAAGTCCGGCTTTTATTTTCGAGCAAAATAATTCTATTTATCAAATAGTCCTAGGTCCTCAAATGCCTTTCTTAATGTATTACTTTATTTTGATTTGTGTCCGAAATCTTTATGTAAACAGTTAGTTAAATAAAATAATTTTAAATATCTCTTTATTACTATGTTGAATTCTTTTAGCGTATTGGAGTACTATTGCCCTTTTAATACTTTTTTTGAACATAATCCTCTTAGAAGCAGTCGGCATAGTCAAAGAGGTACTAGATAGGTTCATCCTCAGCTGATTTCATTGATATAACTTCAGTGGTTTGTGAGATATATAGTACATTAAATGCATTAAGATGGGACACTTTCAAAATGTTGAAAACCGCTAATTTTTAAGAGTCTCGTCAACTTAATAAAAATAATCCATCACCAAAACTATTACACTCCGTTGCAACAACTGCTGAAAGTATAAAAACGGTTTGCGGTGAACCTGAAACCGAGAAATTCCGTACGAGATGGTTATGCTGACACATTTCGAAAAACATGTACATACTTGTAGGTGAGCATGCATATTTATTGCTACACTAAACGAACTGCCCTACATAGTATGAATACAATAAATAGTATAAACACTAGCAAACATTGTAAAAAGTAGTAAGACTTTCATAATTTTAAAATTCTGTTTTTCGAAAATATTTAGTAATTTTGAAAACAATAGTGCTTTTATTAAGCCCAAGTAATCTTTCATAATGGTTTTTACAGATCATTTTAATATTCCAACGACGCCAGTAACATTTCTGACTGTTCTTCATCGATTCTCAAGTACCTATTATTTTATTTTATTGACGTGTTGATCATCAGTTGATGTTKATGACCATCTTGGAGGTGGTTCGTTGTTAACGCGTTTTAGTTTTGGCCCACAGTAGCATAGCTCAAGTTACTGATGTTCAGTTTAAGTTTTTAAGGAGCCATATCAAATATTTTATTCCTATAATAGTGTGAAATATTACATAAATTTAAATCAGTTAGTAGTTCAAAATATGGCTAACTAAACTAAACTAAGAGTTTTTGGTTCAGCCATTTACAAATAACTTTATTGGCGTARACACCTCTTACGCGATTTTACATTAGCGCGCCAGTCGGTTTTTCTTTTCGCAATTTTCTCTTTGGCCAATTTGAGACACTAAGTGCAGCCAGGTCCTTCTCCACCTGATCTCTCCAACGGAGTGGAAGTCTTCCTCTTCGTCTGCGTACGCGGCGGGAACTGCGTCGAATACTTTCTGGAAAGTTTTCCTCCATTCGAGCGGTATGATCTGGCCAGTGTAGCCTCTGGACCATTTAGCAGGACGAAAATAATGAGTGACTTATAGAGTTTGGTAAATTTTCGTCGAGAGGGGACTTTACTTTTCTATTGCCTACTCTTTCCGAAGTAGCACCTGTTGGCAAGAGTTATTATGCGTTTGAAATCGAGGCTATAATTGTTGTCGGTGTTAATACTGGTTCCCAGATAGTCGAAATTATCTACGACTTTGAAGTAATGACTGTCAAGAGTTACAAGGGAGCCAAGTCGCGAGTATGACGATTGTTTGYTTTATGACAGGAGATATTTCTTGACCTCATTCTCTACCTGACCCATTTGCTATGCTTCCTTATCTAGTCTGGACAAAGAAGAACTAACGGCAAATGAGTGTTGATGCCAATGATATCAATATCGTCGGCGTACGTCGGCAGCTGTATACTCTTATGGCCTTTTCTATTTCTTTCTGGAGCTCGAATTATTATTTCCAAGAGTCTATTGAAAAATTCGCACGAAAGGGAGCCACCTTGCCTCATACCCCCTTTGGGTATTGGTCAACGTTGGTCATAGCCGTACTAGTTTTGCGGCGATACCAAATTYAGACATTGCGGCATAAAGGCRGCTCTTCTTCGTGTTGTCAAAAGAAGCTTTAAAATCGACGGAAAGGCGGTGTGTATCGATCCTCTTTTCAAGTGTATTTTCAAAGACTTGGCGCATGGTGAATATCTGGTCAGTTGTTGATTTTGCAGGTCTAAAGCCACACCGATAAGGTGCAATCAGTTTGCTGATCCCACAGTAGTTCATGTCTCACTATCTCCTGGTGTTATGTTCAGCAGGCTGGAGAAGTTCTCTCTCCATAACTTTAGTATTCTCTGCGCATCTGTGACAAGATATAGGGTTATATATATATAAATGATATAAAGTTCAAATGAAATCGCGGCGCACTGGGAGTCCCTTTAAATCCCGACGGCATTTTTTTTTGCAATTTGAAAATTCTGCTTGAAATGCACGAAATGCTTAAGTCCCTTAAAAAGGTTCAAATCAGAGGCTGGAAACCTGAAACCCTCGATGAGGATATATACAAATTAATGCTAGATGACAATCTGAACTAAGCTATAGACATAGAACAGAACTAAATACTTAGTTAAACATGTCAGCAAGGCCTTGGAAACCCGCACACTGGTGAAATGAGACTATTGAAGCTCTGAGACGTGAAGGCCACAAAGTGGAGCGCCAGTGTCAAAGGGTACGACAAACGGTAGATTTCACCATACTAAAGGAGCGCTTTAAACGAAAGTGAAATGAACTCAAGAAAGCAATAAATAAGAGCAAGGTCTGTTGTTTTAAAGAACTCTGCAACAAGATAGAAGAAAACCCGTGGGGAGATGCATACAAAATCGTCATGTCAAAGATTAAATACCATAAAAGACAAGCGCAATAGATTATTAAAGACGGTTGCTCTCTTTCTAATCCAATCGCTTCAAAGACAGCAAATAGAAGAATCTGGAGCTACAAACGCACCGCTAGTCACTGACCAAGAAAATATAGAAGCAGCAGGCAGATACGCAAATACTAAAGAATGAAGTCTAGATGGTATCCCAAGTTTATACTTACTTACGAGAGGGAATATTCCCTAAAATTTGGAAAAACAGCGCCTAGTGCTTGTACAAAAGCCAAATAAACCAGCAGGGGAGCTCCTACCAACCTTTATGTATGTTGGACAAAATGGGAAGACACAGATCAACAATGGACGTCATAAAAAAGTTAATGGAATTGAAGGAACCAGGTGATTATATGGCTCCAAATAATACTGCGAGGTAGTAACGTTTGATGTAAAAATACAGATAATCGGGTACGCTGACGATGTAGCAGTAACGGTAGTGGCAAAAGAAATGAACCAGATGGTGTACTTATGCAACCACGCTGCGCTAGCAAAGCTCCAGTTAGCTGTTAAAAAAACGAAAGTTAGAAAAAGCAAGAAAGATAAACCAGCTGAAACGATGGGACGAACCCTCAAAAGGTAGA